TGACCTCTAAACCCTAAACCCCCAACCCTAAACCCTGCAAACCCCCAAACCCCAAACCCTAAACCCTAAAACCCTAAATCCCTAAACCCCCGAACCCTAAACCCTAAACCCGTAAACACCCCTCAACACCTAAACCCTAGACCCCTCCACCCTAAACCCTGAACCCCCAAACACCCCTCAACACCTAATCCCTAAACCCCCGAACCCTAAACCCTGTAAACACCCCTCAACACCTAAACCCTAGACCCCTCCACCCTAAACCCTGAACCCCCAAACACCCCTCAACACCTAATCCCTAAACCCCCGAACCCTAAACCCTGTAAACACCCCTCAACACCTAAACCCTAGACCCCTCCACCCTAAACCCTGAACCCCCAAACACCCCTCAACACCTAATCCCTAAACCCCCGAACCCTAAACCCTGTAAACACCCCTCAACACCTAAACCCTAGACCCCTCCACCCTAAACCCTGAACCCCCAAACACCCCTCAACACCTAATCCCTAAACCCCCGAACCCTAAACCCTAAACCCGTAAACACCCCTCAACACCTATACCCTAGACCCCTCCACTCTAAACCCTGAACCCCCAAACACCCCTCAACACCTAGTCCCTAAACCCCCAAACCCTAAACCCTAAACCCGTAAACACTCCTCAACACCTAAACCCTAGACCCCTCCACCCTAAACCCTGAACCCCCAAACACCCCTCAACACCTAATCCCTAAACCCCCGAACCCTAAACCCTAAACCCGTAAACACCCCTCAACACCTATACCCTAGACCCCTCCACTCTAAACCCTGAACCCCCAAACACCCCTCAACACCTAGTCCCTAAACCCCCAAACCCTAAACCCTAAACCCGTAAACACCCCTCAACACCTAATCCCTAGACCCCTCCACCCTAATTAAACCCTGAACCCTGAACCCCTAAACACCCCTCAACACCTAAGGTCGTCCCAGGCGCCCAATCCACGCCGCAGAGCCGGCGCAGGGCGATCGCCTCGCGGGCCTTCCGCCGCACCTTACTACCATATGATCACCATATTACTATCATATTACTACCATATTATAACTACGATTACTACCATTCTTCCATTCCCTACGAACCAAAGATAAGGCACGCGGGCGAGGTGAGTGTTGTTGGCCTGGCGCAGCGGGGAAGGGCTCGGGGGCTTGGGGTTTGCGGGTTTGGGGTTCCTGTAAAGGGTGCCATATGGGGTCCTTTAAGGGATCTATGGGAGAACGGCTCGGGGCTTAGGAATAAGGGTTTGGGGTTCAGGGTGTAGGGTTTAGGGAGCTTAGGGTTCAGGGTTCAGGGTTTAGGGAGCTTAGGGTTTAGGGCTTACGGGGTTTATGGTTCAGGGTTTAAGGCTTGGGGCTTAGGGTTTAGGGTGTAGGGTTTAGGGTGTAGGGTCTAAGGTGTCGGGTGTAGTGTCTAAGGGTGAGGGTTTAGGGGTTTGGGGCTCCAATAAGGGTTCCTGTATGCTCCTGCTGAGGCTAAGGACTTGGCAGAGGGTTGCGGTTTAAGGGTTGTTTGCGGCTTAGGTCTGGGGTTTGGGCTCAGAGCTTGTTTGGGTTGCAAGGTTTGCGAGGAGGCCGTCGAGATTTTCCAGTCGAATGCAAGTACTATTATGGATTATAATTATTCTTTATTAATATTGTTATTATGATTATTATTATGATGATGATGATTATTGTTATTATTATTATGACTTTATTACTATTATTATGATTATGATTATGATTATGATTATGATTATTACGATTATTATGATTAATTTTATTATTATGATTATGATTATGATTATGATTATGATTATTATTAAGATTATTATTATGATTATTATTATGATTATTATGATTATTATTATGATTATTATTATTCTTCTTATGATTATGATTATGATTATGATTATTATCATTATTTTGATTATTATTATTAAGATTATTATTATTATTAATATTATTATTATGATTATTATTATTATTAGTATTATGATTATTATTATTATTAAGATTATGATTATGAATATTATTATGATTATGATTATGATTATGATTATTAATTATGATGGGATTATGACTTTGAGTATTTCATTATTAGGCTATTATTATTGTATTAAGCGTATTATTATTATGATTATCATTGATGATTATGGGTCTGTCTGGTTGATTATCATTCCGATTATGTTATTGATTATTATGTTATTATTATTAGTCGTATTAGTAGTAGTAATATTTTTATTATTATTACTATTACTATTATGATTATTATTATGATTATGATTATTATGATTATTACTATTATTATGATTATTATTATTATGATTATTGTTATTATTGTTATTCTTATTATTGTTATTATTATTATTATTATTGTTATTATTATTATTATTGTCATTGTAATTGTTATTGTTATTATTATTGTTATTGTTATTGTTATTATTATTGTTATTGCTATTGTTATTATTATTATTCTTGTTGCTATTATTATTATTATTATTATTATTATTATTATTATTATTATTATTATTATTTTATTGTTATTATTATTGTTATTATCATTATTATTATTATTATTACTACTACTACTATTATTATTACTACTATTATTATTATTATTACTACTATGCTGCGGCAGCCCCCCGGACTCAAACTGCGAACCGTTGTAAGACGCTGTAACACAAACAGACTACCTCGCCTGGACGGCGATGCCTGCACTGGCCGCATCCTCGGCCTTCTCATGGAGCCCCATGTCCAGCAGGGCCTCTGCAACCCCAGTTGCGGAGCCAAACACAGTTTGGGGTTTATTTAGGGTTTAGGGTATAGCGTTTAGGGTTTGGGGTTTCGGGTTTAGGTGATCAGCCCCAAACCAAAGCCTCAAACCCTCAAGCCTTAAGCCCTACAGCCCATAACTGTAGAAAGCCCTCCCATCCCACAGGACCTCGTAGTCAACCCTATAAAGCCCATAACAAAAGTTGAACTAATGGCCTGAAAAATTACCTGGACCTGTATTCGTCCTTAAGGCTGCCTCCTGTAGGTATGTTATATATCAGATTATGGGGGCTTATAACAGCCCAGCCTACCCTTAAATTAGCGTCTATTAGCGTCAATTAGCGTCTTACTAGCGATATGCCCCAAGACCCGTTCCAATCTTTCAGGGTCCTGTTACCCCCGAAACCCTAAACCTTAACCCCTGAACCCTAAACCCCAAACCCCGCGAATGTTGAAGAAGGACCCAAGAATCCCCCATACCCTAAACCCTATAAACCCTATAAACCCGATAAACCCTATAAACCCGATATATAAACCCTATAATTAAACCCTAAACCCCTATACCCCTGAACCCTAAACCCCTAAACCCCTAAACCCTAAACCCCTACAAACCCTATAAACCCTAAACCCCTATACCCTAAACCCTAAAACCCTATAGATCCCTTAAAGGAGCCCCTTAAAGGTACCCTTATGGATCCCTTCAAAAGAACCCTATAAACCCTAAACCCCTATACCCTAAACCCTAAGAAGTACCATAACCCCAATTAGGGTCCCTTTTAGGGTACTTATAAGTCTACTTACTACCTACTTACTAAGTCCCCCGACCCTCCAAGTATACCCTAAACCCTAAGATAAATCCTTAAAATGGTAGGTTATTCCGGCTTACTCTAAACCCTAAGAAGGACTTCGGCAGGACTGGGCCTGGGCTCGCCTCCAGAAGGCCTCGCCAGGCGCGGAGGGGACGCGACCGTTGGGTCTCTCGAGTTTAGGGTTTAGGGGTTAGGGGTTTAGGGTTTAGGGGTTTAGGTTCGCCAATTGACATGGTGGAATCCATAACGTTGCGTAAGTGAAACCACCACTTGCGTACATGCAGTGGACCAACAAAAAACTATATGCAAAAGCATGCAACTAAGCTGGAGGAAAATCACCATTGGGGAACTCATCCATGACAGAACGTAGCACAGATATACATCTTTCGCGTATTGCAAGATCTTTCTTCATCTGGATCGTAATCTCATTTCGGATGGGCTGCAAAGAAGGAGGAATACCAACAGAACCAGCTGCACGATCGGCCCTAGCATTGTGGTGTATCTGCCAAAGGTCCTCAAAGTTAACAGCATCCGATGGGTCTCTGTGGGCCTTGGTCCAGAAAACTTGGACTGAGTTGTTGCGCCGAGCATTCAAGAGTCTGGCAGTCGCTTGTAAAAGGTCGCGGTCAGGGTGTGTGATCCATCTGTGTAAGTCGAAACCCTCAGTCAAAATAATATTGACATCGCGGACCACAGACTCATTATCGCAGAAAACACAGACATTTTGTGTCAAAGCCAAGGCAGTGTTGACAGCATGAAGTTCCGCACGAAAAACAGTCTGTCTTCTACCAATCAAGGTCCCAGAAGCCAATACCAAGTTCTCCGCAGAAGCTTTAGTAGCCAGAGTAACCGCCCAAGAGCAAAGGCGCAGGACTGGACAAGTCGGGAGTATCGCAGAACCATCAGTGAAAATATAACGGGTCTCCTGTTGCTGAGGAAGTGCTCGAATATCATCCATCTGGAGTTGGTCCAAGGAACACTTATACTTTTCATGCAACTGAAGTCGTGGCATAAGCCCCCCAAGAAGGAGGCTTGTGGAAGACTCTGCAACTTCATTCCAACCTGGGGCGTGACGAATATGTTCGGTCGCTGGACATCGGAAACATCTGTGGTGTAGAGAGTCATCCTGTCCACAGTATCTGCACAGTCCATCATCCGAGTTGTTCACGTGGGCCTTCCTTTTACTTGGGAACAAACCGCCCAGACGAACCTTCTTCATGAAGGCCTTAATGTTGGGATCCTTGGGTTCCGGATAGGAGCTGCGGGTGGAGGAGAAAGAAACCAAGTCACCCAGATGTTCCTTGGTGTGCAGGTACTGAAGTAAGCGCCCCTCCCAAGATTCCCAAGCAATCTCAAGAAATTGTGCCACCGAAATGTCCCAAATGCTGAAGCACCATCCCGAGGTGGTAGAGCACTGTCCATCTGGTTTGATTTCCCACCCAAGGTCATGGAGTTGATTCTGCAGAATGGAAATCATACCTCTGGTTTTTCGTTTGACAAAGGATCCGGATTCACAAGATAGCCGCCAAACCTCCTTGACCAACTCTTCATCCATCGTCAAAGCCCTGAGCATAGCATGAAAACGCGTCTTGACCAGATAGAACTGAGGCTCATAAAGAGTACCAGAGAAGATGGGGCACAGGAAATGCAAGTGATACTGGATCTTCCCCCAGACAGCGTGGTTACATTTCGCTCTCAGTTCACTGACAAAATCTTTTCCAGCATACCAATTCTGGCAGCCAAAAAGGGCCAGTGGCAGAATCGCCCTGCAAATAATGTCAGTCTTCCTCTTCGGTGACCAGGGCATGTACTGGAGGCGGCCCAGCAACACCTTGGCTCTATCCCATCGTTTATTTCTGGACGCCGTAGACGGGGTAGCAGCAGTCTGGAAGTTAACACCCAATCCTTGAACATTCTTCGCCATTCCAATGGGGATGCCTTGGGAATTCATCAACCCTTGAGCTTGTCTAGCCAGTTTCGTGGACGTCGCGAAAACACTGGATTTCTTGAGTGACAGGATAAGGCCAAACTTGGACGACAGACCATCAATGCAAATCGTCGAGCTCTGCAACTTGTTGGATGACTCCGAAAGCACCATCCAATCATCAACATAAGAATACATGTCAGAATGTGATCGGTGTCGGACCGTGGCCGTAAAAAGCCACGTAAGCATGATCATTTGGACCACAGCAATAGGACAACCCTCTGGGACACCGGTGGTTGCCTTAGTAGACCGTCCCCATGCCTGCCCACACGTGAAGTGTCTTTCCAAGCCATTGAGAAAAACTGAATACGGGGTCCAGATCGAATCCAAACCCAGGCGCTGATTGATAAGTTGAAGGATTCCTCTTGGCAAGGTATTGTAGGCCTTTGAGAAATCGAAGGACACCCCAAACAAGGGTTGGCCCGTGATGATAGCCTTTTCTAGTCGCATTTGGACCGAACCGACCATGTCATTGGAAGAACGACCAGGTACAGAACCATACAATGTACGAGGAAGGTGTGGTCCAATGTGTTTGAAAATTTTCTTGGTCGCAATCTTTGCCCAGAGCCTATAAACCGATGCCAAGATCGTAATAGGCCTGGTGGAAGCCACTTGTCCAAGTTCTTCAGTCTTGTAGAGCAATGCCATTCTGGCTTTCATAAGGGCCTTAGGCCAAGTGCCCGTCGTGAAAAGGTTGAGGATGCGAACCAGATAAGGCTTGAGTTCAATTGGAACATACTTGAGCTCAAAGTTCGAAAAACCATCCATTCCTCTTGCTTTTTTGATAGCCAACTTGGATATAGCCCAATCGAGGTCAGCCGCCGAAATAGATGCATCGATTTGGTCCAGTCTTGGGAGTAGAGCAATGGAATCCAGGGTCTCAGTGTCAGTAATGTCCGGTTGAAAAGGATTGTTCCAGTAGCCCTTCCAGTAATCTTCTGCCTCCTTGAGAATTTCAACAGGATTTGCAGTCACTCTCGATTGTGTCACCAGTCCATTTCTGAAGTTCCCAGTCACGTGTCGAAGGAAGATTTTCCCTTTGTCAATATGGGAAACATACGCTTTGGCTTTGCCCTGTGTCCACTTTGCACCAATACGAACGCACTGGAGCTCATCATCACAAAGCATACACGCGTCCAAGCCCTTTTTCCGGGACCTGCAGAATTGCACTCTGTGGTCAGATGCCACAGCCAATGAGTCAACAACTGGGAGTCCAGGTGGCTTGATTGCCCGATAGTGCTTAGCTCCTCCTTGTTGCCAATCTTGTTTGAAAAGCTCAGTCAACTTAGCCTGCCGGTTCCTGGTACACAAGGATCTCCAATGAACCTCATCATTCTTAAGTGTTTGAAGGAGGACCTCAGCCACCTGTACATCTGGTGGTGAAAGAGGAAAGCAACTTGAGTGCTCCTGCAACCACCAGTGCTGAAAGGACGCTGGGAAGCCCGAGGAGCAGAGAATAGCTCGCCATGTTCGGTGGGCAGCCTGGGTAGCCAATTCCGTCCTCCCGGGGTCAGCCAAGGCATTCCTGGCCTTGGACTGCGCCACGTAGGTTTCCAGACGGCGGATTTGCCTAATCCGTTGTCGCAAAACCACGTTGTCATCATCTCCAGAGGGCTGAAATTCGCCATGGCGCGCCCGTGGGGTCCGGTGTTCCAGGTATGGCTGCTTGTTGAAGTAGCCCTTGCCCCTTCCTCTGAACTTCTTGTCCAAGCAAGCACCATTCTTTCGCTGTAGAGCAAATGACATGGAGTCCTCGAAGCCCTGGCAAAAGGCTGACCAGATTTCTTCCACATCACCACAATGTAGGCTGCTCTCCAGGCGGGCCCTGGATCCGGCCGGTAGGTATGCGTGTTGTACTTCTGCTGAGGAGAGGCCTGCATCCCGTAAATCCATCGGCATCCTGAAGCTTGAAATCTCCTTAGGGAGGGCCCCCCAATCGAAAATAGCACTGACAGAACGATGGTCTGTCTCCGCTTGTTCCGACACAAAGAAGGACCGAAATGCCGGGGCCGCGAGGTCATTGTAGAGGATGTAATCCAAGCGGGAAATATCCTTGAAAGTTTTCTGGATGGGTAACCCATCCATACAGTGCTGCATAGCTGCACCATCTTTCCAACCTTCTTGTTGCATCAAGGACCAGGCCGCCAAAGCATCAATGTCACAGTTAATATCGCCAACCAGAACAGTAGGGCACCTGATCAGTCGGGACCTTGCTGCAGCCTCGCGTAGCAAGGCTTCATTCTTAGCTTCAGCGTCTGGTATGTTTTGATGGCATCCATACAACGCAATAACCAGGATCGGGCCCGTCTCCGTAATGATGAAAGAGTCAGCAACCCGGCATGATTTCCAAGCTTCTTCTGTCCACGGGGTGGTAGTCGCCCGGAGGGGGAACTTCGACAATATGGCAGCTCCAGAGGATTTTCCTTTGGTGTTGCAGTCCCGGTGGTCCTTGAAAACCCGCTTGCCAACATCCTTGCCGAAGGTCACGTGCTTCCTGGCCTGATGGGCCAGTTTTGTAACTTTCTGTTGGACAAAAGTTGTAGCAGCAGTTTCCGTATAGACCACCACCTCAGCAGTTGAGGAAAGGAGCCGTCCGTTGTCGGCCATTGCATTGATGCTCTGTGCATTGAGTCCTGTGATCTGCATAGGTCCAGGGTTGGCTGCCTCACCCACACGAACTCCAGCGTACCAATCATGGCATAGCAAATTGCATCTGCCAAACAAATTAAGGTCCCATGAATTCCACAAATTGAGGTCCGCGACCATGAAAGAGGGTCGCCACAGGCTTCTTCCAGTCTGGTAACTGTCATTCACGCCAGGGCAAGCCAAAAAAGAACTGGGGTGGGAGCGGTTGTTGTTGTCCCACCATCTTGCATGAAAACCGTCCAAAGCTAGCTCCAGACGAATTGGGAATTTTCGCTGTCACTGTTTCGGCTGTTTCTGAGGACCTTCCTTGGTCGGTCCGGCAGACCAAGCCTCGGACTTGGATTGTCGGGGCAACTGACCCGCCGACCTCTATGGTTTTCCTGGCGGTGCACGGCACGATCCTGGTTTCAGAGAGATCGGCCAAAGGAACTGGGAAAGGGAAGGGAAAAAGCAAGGCGACCATGCGACAGCCCTCCCCCTGGTTGCTGGCGGAATCGGTCCCTACAGTTCCGAGTTCTACCAAGCATGGTTCAGGCAACTTCATGAATGTGGACGCGGATGCCACGACCATGGCTATGGAAGACAGGCTACAGAAAAGGATCGATCAACTGCACCAAGAGCAGGTGGCGACTACGACCATGTTGCGGGAGGACTTCAAGACCTTCCAAGCTCAAGTCAAGACCCAACAGGCCGACCAGGAAAAGATCAATGCAACGATGCAGGGAAGCATCAACGACCTTGCTGGGTCCATTTCCACACAGCTTGGCCAACACATGACCCAGCTTACGGCTGTTCTCACAAGCCAGAGGGCGGACCTCAACTCAGACATCCGGACCTCCCAGATCTCCCTCAAGGATGAGCTGATGGCAGAGATGCGCCAGCAAATGGGGGCCCTTCGGAAGAGGACACCGCCCCATCCCACCTTGTTCAAGAAGGCTTGTACTTCTGTCTTTGAGGAAGACAGGGGCATGTTCTGGAGGTCGAAGTACCTGGTGATTTGAAGATCATAGGGAGTGTCCGGGAGGGGCTTCCAAAGTGGTTGCCAGCGTTGTTTGGCTTTGATGAAATCCTCCGTCTTCACTCGTATGCCAAGGCCACCTTTGCTCCGGACCAAACCGACTGCCGTAGGTTCCGAGTTCGCTTTAATGACCAGGTCATCCAAAGGACAATCTTGCAACCAGACCACCTTGTAGGCCGGGTCAGGTAGTCCGTCTTCTGTCTTGGGCGAGAAGTAAACTCCAGGGTGCACCACCCTGAGGAGCAGGTCCTTGGCCTCTCTCTTGACCCTCATCATCATGAAACACGTCTCGGCCTTCTTGGGGTCCATGGCTTGTTTGGAACCTTGGAAGAAGCGCCGGCTCCAAGTCGTGATGATCATGTCCTCGAGGTGTTGAACCTGCTTCTTCAGAAATTTCACCGGGCCTTCACAGATCTCTTCCCAGTGGAAGGTTTCCGCCTTGATGATTTCACATGACAGGACAATGGAGTCCAATTCTCCAACCGTCACCTTCTTGTCTTCATCAGCCAGGGAAATTTTCTTGGCCCCCAGGTTGAGGAGCTGGGCTTTGACCAGGATTCGAGAGTCATCCTTAGCCTTGCAGGGTACCTCCACCTCCAATATGGAAAACACACCCGTAGCCTGGAGCTTGGCACCGACGATCACAACTGCGAGCTCCTTGTCGGACATGGAGGATTGGTTCTGGAGCAGCAAGTCTGCTTCCCGTTCGGTGGTCAAGGCGATGCCGGTGGCACCGTGCGACACCTTCTCAATCGTAGCTGGGGGGGTGCCATCTTCATTGCAAAAGAATGCCGTATCCAATCTCCAGGAGCCTCGTTCTCGGAGAGCAGAAGCCCACGGGTCATTCGTCTGCATGACATCTTCCCCGGCCCCTTCCTTTTGGATTTCCTTGGACTTCGGGCGGGCCTTGGATTCAGCTTCTCGTACCAATCGGATCGGGCAGATGGCTTTCAGACGTGCCCATGGATCGAACGACCCATATGCATCCTTGATACCGGCATCCCCGATGTGCATTTTGATGTCTTTGATACGCTCGTCCAGGCTCTCCTCAGGTACCCCTTTCGCTGCCAACAGGGTCCGGAGCTTTCCAGTGTAGCTGTTGGCTCCTGTTCCTCCACGTAGTTTTCCTCTGACCTGGATGGTCTGGCCCACTGCCACAGAGGCCAAAGTGGTCTGTGGGCCAAGGACCCTGCCTTGCAAAGTGAAGTATGCTGCTCCGGCAGGCACACCCCACTCGTCAGCAATGATCTGTTCCAATGGCCGGGGGTCCTTCTGGCCAACAGCCAGGAGTCTTCCTTGGAAAACCATGTAAACCGCAGACGACGTAGTCGGCGTATGGGTCTCCGAGTAGTTCATGGTGGCCGGGAGGGGGTTGCGAGTCTCAAAGCAAGGGTCTCCAATCCTCGCGCGCTTGGCATGCCATCTGAAACCTGGGTCCGAGAAAGGCATCCCCCTGGTGGAAGGTTCTGGTCCTGGGGTCGCTGGCGTAGATTCCACGTTCGGATCGGGGGCCTCATTGTCATCATCCGTGGCCGGTTGAGTGTCATCCAGGGGGGGGTCATGTACCGGCCCACCCTGGCTGCTCTCACCATCCTCAGGGGTCGGAGATCTTGGAGGTGCCGCCGTAAGTGCATCCATTTTCTTGAAAATGTCAATGTCCTCCCATTCATGGTCACTGTGGTTGTCCCATCGCAGCTTGAGGAAGTCTCCAGACTGGAGGGTCAAAGGGAAGTCTTCCACTAGTGAGCCATTCAAGGTGATGAGGTCCGGTGGGGCTCCATGAGAGTCCAGGTAGGTTGTCTTGAGGTCCCGGAGATCACAGAGCTCATTAAGCCAATGTGCCATCGGGAAAGCCGTATCCACCAGAACAAGAGCCTTTGCAACTCCTGGGAGCATTTCTCCAGCCACGATCCAATTCATTGCTTCAGGGTTCTCCGACCGCACCTTGGCAAGGGCCATGGACTCAGGGGAGATCCTGAGGAACTCTGCCACGTCCTTGTGTACCTTGGTCACCAGGTCCTCGTCATTCAAGAAGATGTCATGGTAGCCAGAGTAAGCCTGGAAGACGCGGTGTGTCATCGGGGTCCTGGGTGGTTGATCCATCTCGAGGTCCTCGTAAGAAACCCTGACCGACTCAGGATAGAAAGGACGCCTTCGGTCTCCTTGTGGCCATCCGTAGGTCAAGGCATTGAGATTATCCTGGAGCCCCTGGATACGTTGGGCCAAAATGCCCATGTCACCTCGGCCCAGTGTATCATCCTTGTCCCATAGCATTGTCCATCCAGATCGATTGACCGGGCAGTACCCAGTGAAATCACGTTGCCAGTCCCTACTGTTTTCCTGAAGACCCTCGTCCAAGAATCGCAGGATCTCATCCTCCATCATTGGGTCTTCCCTCCTGTGGCCAATGGCGGAACCTAGGAGAACCAAGGCTGCTGCTGGGAGGGTGGCATCTCCGAGAATGGCCATTCCATCAGTCTCCGGCTCCGGGAGGATGACATTCACTGGGAATCCGTGGGCTTTCAGGACTTCCCACTTGGAAAGGTACCTCACCTGTCCCGGTTGGGGCTCAATCAGGCATATGTTGAGCCCACGCTTCTGTAGAAGTGGCCACGGGGTCTTGATGATCTCCTCGTAGTTGGCTCCAATCGGTGGTAGGGGCTTGGTTTGGTCCACCAATCGAAGTTGCAGGGCCGACTCAGGTCGAAGCTGCATGTGTCTGGGAAGGAGTTCTCTGCTGAGGATCTTTGCCATGTCTTTGTCATTGAGGGCCACAGTCTGCAACCGCATGGCACACATCCTGTCCCAAATGGCCACGTGGCAGGCCAGGTCTCCACGATCACCCAGTCTGGCCAGGTGGAAAGGAGTTCCCACCGATGGGGTGTCTGCAGAATTCCAGAAAACCATGTAGAAGCGGCGCTTGTGGGCTGGGACAAGTTGGCAAGGGTCCAAGAACCCTTCCCAAATGGCCGTGTATCCCGCCCATTTCATGATATCACATGTGGTCAACTTGTCCTTGTGTTGGGCAAATGCCACGGGCATCTCCAAGATAACAGCTCGTCTTTGTGTGAATCTGCAAATCACGAATAATTGCCAGAGGGCCGCTGTGTTGGCACCATCCTCCATGCCCTGCGACCGGTATGCCTTGCCAGGAGGGCTCACACAATAGAACTCGACATTCTTGGAGTGCATCGCTGGCAGCCATCGTAGGTCAATCAGGTCTCCCCAAAAAACATTGAATTCCGCCTCCTCATCCTTATCCGTGAACAGGCGGGCTGAGGCATCATTCAGAAGGGTAGTCGCCACTGCCATACCTTCATGTTCAACCCTGATGGCGACATCTGATGGGAGCAAGCGTGCCGCTCTCGTCCATCCATTGAGTCCACCAGAAAACAGCTCAGCAATGGTGACTATCTTGTCTGCCCGAGCGGGGAGAAGGACCATGCCCGACCTTTCCGTTGTACTCGGCATCCGGAGGAGCCTATTTCCACTGGCATCTCGAATGAATCTCACACCGATGGCCATGTAGACCTGGCCTGGCCGCAGGCTGTGTCTGCAAACCGTAGACTCAAAGTCCACCAACTCGCCCGTGAGCTTGGGGTGTCTCATCAAGTTCGTGGCACATATGTTGTTATCCAGATCAAGGTCCACCACTTGTACCACACCGTGATGTGTGGACTGCAGTGACTGAATCCGGAAAGCCGCATTGAACTTGTAGTTCAGATCAATGTCCGCCAAGTCTCGTGAGATGACCCAGCCCCTCGCTGTTAGGGCTTCAAGTCTCTCTTTTTCAGTAACATGTTTCGCGAAGATGTCCATGGCCCGACTTTGGTAGCAGCACAGCTGCTTCCGGCCCCACTGACTGGGAAGTCTCGGGCCCGAGGGCTTTTAGGGGTTTAGGGGTTTAGGGGTTTAGGGTTTAGGGTTTAGGGGTTTAGGGTTTAGGGGTTTAGGGGTTTAGGGTTTAGGGTTTAGGGTTTAG